AAAAAAAATTAATTTAATCTATTTATCATATATAATTATTTGGTAAAATTTTATTCAAAAATCAAACTAAAATAACTAAATTTGACAAGTGATAAATATTCTTCTAAAGTTACTTATTTTTTATCAAATATCTTCACCATCTATTTTTACACCTTCCTAATTTAGAAAATTCATTCATTTATTGGTGTTAGCATTTACTACACAATTTTTATACATATCATTATCTTTTTATCATAAAGATTTGATATTAATTTTTTTTATCATATTATTGTTTAAAAATAATTATTTTTTATTTTAAAAAATCGTAAAAAATCTCAACAATTTATAATAAAAAATAAATAGATAAAATTTTGTTTGTAAGTAATTTTGCATCAATTCTCCCCTTACCATCTATTTGTACATCTTTCCTAATTTAGAAAATTCATTTATCTATTTGATTCAATATTTATTACCCTACAATCTTTACACATTTTATTTATCTCTTTATGAAAAAAGTGCATATTAGTTTCCATTTTTAAAGTAAATTAGAGTCCCAACTTTAAATTACGTTGTTTTATTTAATTAAAACTTAATTCAAAATTTAAAACTCTATTCTATTAAACATTGATATTTAAATTTAAAAATTGATTATATTAAAATATAATTGGTTTCTAAATTTATGTATTAACATTTAATAGGATAAATTTCTAAATTTTGAATTAGAATTTTTGTTTCCAAATATAGGTTGGGATTTTGGTTTCTAAATGCATGTTAAAATTATAATTTTTTAAAAAGTCGAGACTGATATACACTAATTTTTTATATGCATATATGGTCAATATTTATTCATTTTTATCTTATTTTGTGACAATAATTATTATTTTTATCTAAAAGTATTAAATTTTTTATCAATAAAATCTAAAAAAATTATAAATAATAAAGACGTAAATAGTGAATATTAAATATAATTAAAAGTAACCTTACTCATTTATCTATTCATGAATTCTATTTTACAATTTATTTTGTAGAGACCGTAAAATAATTAACCATAGGGTACGCTTGCTGCCCCTCTTAACAATTAATTAAAATGCCATCAATCATGCAATCAATCATGCAATCAATGCAGGGGAGACTACACTATACTTTTCAGTTATCTATTTGTACTTAAATTGTGAGAACAAAGAGTGAACACTGGAAATTAGCATGGAGATCTTCTTCCTTTTGAGCTTTCTGTGTTTCTTCTTCAGTCCTGCTTTGTCAGGGTGATTTTCTTCTATATCTCTCCTTCATTACTTTCTAGCTGCTCCCCTTTTATCATTTGCTGCATTTTTATTTGACTTGCACCCATTATTGTTCTCTTAAGATGAATTTTCATTGCCAACTAATTAAGAAAGGTCTTGTCTTGTACTATGGTTTTGTGCTTTGTTGGGTTAATGTTTTCTTGGGTTTGAAAAAAGGAAAGGAATTTCCTAATTGCAAGAGATGGGTTGATAATGAAGCATGGAACTGATTACTCAATTAGCAGAAGTACAATCTTCATTCTTCAATCATTTTAATAGATACCCAGTTTACCATTTTCTATCTTTGAGCTAAGAAATGCTTGATTCTTTATCTTCTCTGAATTATTATAAAAACGAAAAAGCAACATTATCTTAATTAATTCTTAGGTTCACCATTTGGTTGGATTCAGTGTTCATGCTTGTGTCACTTTGTTCCGATGTTGATGTATCAAATTGGTAGTTTAGATTTTTGAAGGTTGCCTGACATAACCTATTCACTTACTAGTTATATTTTATGTAATTACCTTTGGTTCTACCCATTTCAGGAGGACACCATTTCCTGGTTCTCATGCTTTCTCACCACCAAGAGGTTGGAACTCCTATGATTCCTTTAGTTGGCTCATTTCTGAGGAAGAGTTCTTGCAAAATGCTGAAATCTTGTCCAAGCGTCTTCTGCCACATGGATATGAGGTATAACATGGATGATCATTACATTTTCAACATCTTGTCATTATGATTATGGAAGTTCTATTGTAGAGATAACTTTTTCTTCATTTTTCCTCTGCTATTGCTCGCAGTACGCTGTGGTAGATTTCCTTTGGTATAGGAAGAAGGTCCCGGGCGCATGGATTGATGCTTCTGGATTTGATGTTATTGATGAATGGGGAAGGGTTATTCCTGACCCAGATAGATGGCCTTCATCCGGAGGTGAGAAAGGTTTTAGTGATGTAGCCAGCAAGGTACATAGCATGGGTTTGAAGTTTGGAATTCACATTATGAGAGGAATAAGTATACAAGCCTACAATGCAAACACTCCTATCTTAGACATTGCCACGGTATTAACCCTTACTCCCTCTAAATTTTCATCATTTTATTTTGGACCAGTTCGGGATTAAAAAATTCATCAAAATAGACAGCTGAATAACAATGTTGAAAATGCAAATTAATCATTAGCGCTAAACCTCAATATTTAAAGCGTTTTATTCCTTTTCATTAGGGGAGGGCCTATGAAGAGTCTGGTAGAAAGTGGACATCAAAAGATATTGGGCTCCCGGACAGGCCTTGTGGATGGATGCCCCATGGATTCATTAGAGTAAATACTAAGTTGGGAGCTGGAAGAGCCTTCTTGAGATCACTTTTTCAACAATATGCTGAGTGGGGTGTTGATTTTGGTAATTTCTATAATTTAGTTGAAGGCTTCCTGTTTCATCTATATTTATTCCTAAATTTTGAACTGACAAAATTCGGTGTACCTGCATGCCCCTTAGTAAAAATAATATAGTTTTGCACTGCATAATGCATATTACATCCCATTTAAGAACGTGAGTTACATTTATTCACACCTTTTCCAACTTGCTGAAATTCTTTCTTCTACCTTGAAAATATGAATTTAGTGTAGTAGAAATGGAATAAGAGATAGAAAAGGCTTAGAGGTTATGACTAAACTCATGCTGACTGAGGCATTTAAATCCGAGTTATAATTTTGAGAATTTGAGCTCAATCTCAAATGAATATGTTGTATCAGATAAACTTTTATTTTATAGCAGCTTACTTTGAATCTTTCTTTTTTGCGTCTGATGTGTACTTTGAATCTTTCTTGATTTAAGATCTTCTAATTCCTCGGCTTCTCTTTTTGCAGTAAAACATGACTGTGTATTTGGTGATGATTTGGACGTAGATGAGATAAGCTCTGTTTCAGAGGTATGTAAGAGTGCCGTGTATGGTAGTATAGCCTGGAAAATATTTAGTGTGTCTAAAATCTGGAGATGATATATTAAGCGCCCTTATGCAGATTTTGAGCAAGCTTGATCACCCTATTGTGTATTCACTGTCTCCTGGAACCAATGCTACACCTGATATGGCCAAAAATGTCTATGGGTTAATCAACATGTACAGGATAACAGCAGATGATTGGGATAAATGGGAAGATGTTGAATCCCATTTTAATGTTACAAGGTGGATGGAACGCTCCATAAAACCAAGAGATATTTAAAGCTTGTTTCTTTTCCCCATTTGTGTATTTTTTGGATTAATTATCACGTGACTGATGCTTGTGGCTATGGTTTCAGGGATTTTGCTGCAGCTAATATGATAGGTACAAATGGCTTGCTGGGTAGGTCATGGCCTGACCTAGATATGTTACCGCTGGGATGGCTCACTGATCCAGGTTATAAACCTATGAAATGCATCCTTTTATGCTTGCACATTATTAACCCCTTCCATTCCAAGGGACTGATTAATGAAAACTTTACTAATCCAAATCTTTGCTAGAATCAATTGAGGCCCACAAATAATTGAATGCTTTCCTGCATTCCAGGTGCAAATGAAGGTCCACACAGAGCAAGTAATCTTACTCCAGACGAGCAAAGAACTCAGGTATGTTGGATAAGTATTCATGTTTTAGTCTTTCATTTATAACAATACTAGACCTCGTTTTGACCTTATGACTTTTCTCTTCACAGATAACTTTGTGGGCTATGACCAAGTCTCCTTTGTTTTTTGGGGGGGATTTAAGAAGGCTTGACGATCAGACATATAATCTCATTACAAACTATAAAGTTCTAAAATTAAACGCTATCAGCTCAAACAATAAGGAGGCATGTAAACTTAATTTGACAGATTTTAAAAATAAAAATTAATTTGGTGAAGTAATAGTTTAGTAACAGGCTTTTTGTTGGTTTTGCAGTTTCCTTATATTACTGCTACAAAGACATCTACTAGTGAGAATAAGGTTTCCTTACAGAAGCGGACAAAAGTAGACACATCAGATGCACTTGCTTTGGGTCTAACTGGCTGCAAGGATCCCAAAGCAAATGGCTGGACATCTGAAGCCCTTGCCCAAGATCTTGAAAAAATCTGCTGGAAAGAAAACTTGGGGAACAAATTTGGTGAACCTTTATGCCTCTTCAGGTGAAAACCTCTCTCGGATTCGCAAGGATTTTCTATCTCTCCACATTTAGATTGTTTCTCGGCATTTCTTGTTCTAACTTGAGCATTTCTTGCCCATATATCTTGACAAAAATGCAGTGATGAAGAGACAATCCACCGGCAGCAATATCAAGGAAAATTCCTTTTATCAGCTAGTGATGGAGTGGACTTATGTTTGGATGCTTCTCCTAAAGAGAGGCTTATTTCAAAAGAATTTACAAGAAGTCCATTTTCACCTTGCAAATGGGATGCCAACCAGGTATCTTTAAGTTTGCAAAGAAAATCATGCTGTTATAAAGGACAACTAAAAAAACCTGACTTGATTTTGAGGTTTTGATAAAGGTCTCTGACATAACTATGTTCTCTACTTATAAGAAACTATTAATGGTCTTGCTCAAAAAAAACTTTCGTTCTATTCGGTATGCTATAATGATAATAATATGTTGGTCATAGTTTTAGGAAAGTACTTTGCACTGATTCATGACTTGCTACTTGACCCTTATATTTCTGTCTTTTCTAAATTCTAATCCAAGTATCACAAACTAGGTCTTTGTTTTTCTTTTTTTTTTCTTTTTTTCCTTTTTTGATGAGATGATCTGGGTCTTTGCTCTTGTCATGATGAATTTGATATATATATATATATATATATTAGCTTCATATGAAATATGAAAAACCTAATGCTTCTAATTAAACATCACAGATGTGGGAGTTGACTACTGATGGGAAGCTCGTAAATACACACTCCGGTCTGTGTGCAACAGGGAATTCAATAAAAGGTGATTCATTTGAAGCTGATTTCCTATATGAGCTGTGACAAGCATCTTAGAAGTTTTTATTCTTTTTGTTCATTAAGTTAATTAAGCTGTAAATATCTAGATCCTTATCAATTATTAATAATGCAGCTAACATTGGCTCCGGTGGAGTTCGTGCATGGATTGCAACAGGAAAAAAAGGTGTGATAACTTTTAAACAGTGTAATATTTGATTAGCCAATTAAAAAAAAAAAAACTATGTATTGATTAATTTTGCTTGCAAAAATATATTTTGCATGACCAGTAGAAATGTTGCATGACCAGTAGAAATGTCGGTCCATTGGAAAGCTCTTTCTAATGGTAGTCAATTTTTTCTTGCTCATTCAGGAAAAACATATCTTGCTTTTTTCAATCTGAACTCAGAGAAGACAACAATATCTGCGAAGATATCACAGCTGGCTTTATCACTTCCTCAGAGACATTTCAAAAATGCTTTCAGTTTCTGTAAGGGAAAAGAGATTTGGAGTGGAAAAACATTTGAAGTGAGCCAAACAATATCATTTGACGTGGAGACGCATGGTTCTGCATTATTTGTACTGTTTTGTTCTTAGAGTAGCCACTTCCATATTCCTATTGTTATGTACTCGATTAAGAGCCTGTTGGCTTAATATATAAAATGTTTTCAATTGAGCATGTTTAAGTCTCTCTTTATAGTGTTTGCATGGCTTATTGGGGAAGTCTCTCTTTAAAGCGCTTTTGCTTCCACGGCAGGAAAACTGTTTTGCAGGTCATGCCACACACAAGCACTTCATATCTGTTGTTGTATGAGGAAAACAATGGAACCTGTTGCAAGGTATTGGACGTGGAACCCTGCATCACTTAATGTGGCAATGATGGCACTAGAAGAAGTGTATGTCTTTTTCCCAGGGGAGGGGGGCGGGGGAAAGAATGAGTATTAAAACTTCAGGGAGCATGACTTTTTGTTCTTCACGTATGAAACATCTTCATCAACAGGTAAGCAATCCCTTTAATTTTCTCTTTTGATATTACCGTCTGATGATATTCTCAACTAAAACAAAATTCATTGTCACGGTCTTTTTAGGTCACATGACTCCTTCGTCCACCTTGTGCACATTTGCTATGATTGTAATTTTGGAGGCTTAGTTTCCACCAAAGTTACACTAAAACTTACTCACTAGTAAAAATTATTCGAGAGGTTAACTCGCCTTTTTTCTTTTTCTTTTTTTCTTTTTTTTTTTAATTTTCTATTTTCCTTCTTTTTCCTTGGATATCATTAGGTTATGAATAATAGTTCCACCAAGGTAGGAATGGCAAATGCCAAATGGTCACTCAACAGGTGTTTCATCCACCCACCCTTCCCCCAAAAAAAAAGGGTCCTTGGAATATTTATGCATTGAGTGAGGTAGATATTTATTATTGTTATTAGGAGAATACAGAATATACCAAAGAGCAGGTGCCACCAGGAGCTTATTTTATTGATCCAAGAAAGGCCACAGCTCATAATGGAGGTGGCGGCGTTTGCGATTAGCTCCCTTCACCACTCTTTCGGAAGCCAAAAAAGTTTTCCTTTTGGCTCCGATCTCTCTCTCTTCTCTTAGGTGGGTGCAACTTTTCTTTTGATCAAATAATGCTAAAAAAATATTCATAGTGGAAGTGACGGCTACTGAACTTACCTTTCATTTGTTAAAGGAAATTATAAATCATAAGATAGGTGGAAAGGGTACACCGACAAATTGGATATGGAAATCAATTGCAGGGTTACTTTGGTGGTCATTCCTCACGTTCAGCTTGGACACGTGTTTAGGGAAGTTAATAGGTGTATTATGTTTTTTATTGATATAGGTTACACCTTACTTTTTTTTTTTATATTTGTAATTAGTTTAAATATTGGTTCTCAAAATTTAAGACTTTTTTATATGCTAATAAGAATGAAATTAAATTTCTTAAATTTTTGTATAACTCTATTTAATTAGTGATTTTCATTCTCTCTTTTTGTTAAAAAAAAAAAAAAAATTGGGTATAGAACTTGAGAGGGGAGTAATGAGGGGGGAAAGAGGGATGATTTTGATCGTAGCACCATTCATGAGAGTCAATTTGGTTGTAAATTCAATTGAATTTTTATCTTGAACCAAACCTTGTAAATTGGTTCAATAGATGTCTTATCAATCGGTTATCAGCGAAAACATAAAACCTTATCTGAAAGCATATTATAAAATATTCGAAACCAACAATAAATTCTTATTCTAAAACTTAAGTATGTTCTTGAAAAAAAGAAAGAAAGAAAGAAAGAAATGCAGTTCTAGTCATCACCATGACATATAGATGAAGTTTACAAGAAAACACAGAAACGTTAAAAGTCGTTAAGGTTGCAAGAAAGTCAACAATGCAAAAAGTCTTTATTTTTTTTTTATATTCTATGAAAAGTATTTTTAAATCATATTTTATATAGTTCGAAATTAATTTTCTCTTAAAAAATTTTAAAGGCCGCTCATATTAATCTTATACATTTAAAAAAATTAATTTTTTAATATTTATTTTAAATTTTAAATACTATACCAAACCTTCAAAATAAAATTTATTTATTAATAAATTCAACTTTTACAATTAAGTCCTGTCTTATTATTTGTTGGAGGCTACTTACCATTAAGGTGTTTGTCCGACCTTTTCTTTTTTTCCTCGGAGTGTTAAAAGGGTGAGGGAATAAAATAGGGGAAAATTTTATTTTTAGTTTTTTTATCTTAATAAATTTATAAGTTTTAACCATTTACCTTATATTAAAACATTTTTAACTATTTATTATAATAAGTTTATAGGTTTTAACCTCATATATTATCTTATATTATGATACTTTTAGTCTTTTATTTATTAGAATCGAAGAAAATAACTCTCACTTAACATCAAGTTATAACGTTTTGTTAATTTTATTAGTTGATTGTTAATTCTGTTAGTTGACTGTTAACTTTGACTGTTAGTTCTATTAACAGACTATTAGTATCAGTTAGTTAATTGTTAGTATCTATTAATATTCTGTTATAAAAAATATAAAATTAAAATTTCATTTTATTTGTTAGTTTTATTAATAAAATGCTAACGGAACGCTAATGAAATGTTAACAATCAGTTAATAAAGTTAATAGTTAGCTAATAAAACTAATAGAACATTATAATGTAACCTTAAATAAGGGTTATTTTTTTTAATTCGTATAGGTGATAGACTAAAAATGTCATAATATAAGATGAAATATTAAAATTTATAAATTTATTAAGATAAAAAATTAAAAATGTTATAATATATAATGAAAGAATAAAGCTTATAAATTTATTAGGTAAAAGATTAAAGAAGGTTTTAGCCATAGAATAGGCACAGACTTTTAGCCATAGAATAGGCACAGCAGAGGTAAAACGTTGCGAGGTTCGAACACCAAACCTGTGGATATTTGCCACCCGGACCTGGAGAAGTAGCACATGAGGAAAAGTAGCACCAAGAATCGAACACCCTCCGTGTGAATGCGTAGAAAAACTTTTCCCTATTCATTTATTTTTGATGGGTCCTTTCTTGTTCATTTAAATACTACTCCTAACTCAACTTTAATAAATTTAATTTTTAATATAATGTATATAAATTTAGTTATTTATGTTCTTAAAATATTATTTAATATATTTTTTTAAATTTATTTTTATTTTTTAAAAAATAATTATAATATATATTAAATAAAAAGATATATTTAAACAATAATTAATAAAAAATTTATTGATTAATTTTGGCATCTTTATTCCATTAAATAATAAAAATCTAACGTTATTAAAGTTGAATGGAATAGATAAATAATCAAATTTTTTCTTTTTAATCATTTAAATAATAAAATAAAAATTATTAAATGATAGTTATTTTTTATTTAATAATATAAATTATACAATTAAATACAATATGTATTACATCATACTTTTTTTTTTTTCTAAATTTATCTCAGCCAAGTTTCAGTTTCGCCTAGTTATTTTCTTTGACAAATGAATTTGAAAATGACTACACGAATGAAAAAATCGAAGGGATCTTTGAGTAGGGAGAAATTGTGACACAGGGTTAGGAACTGAAAAAAAAATTGGCTCCAAAGAACCCAACACCCTGATGTGAAAGCCTAGAAAAACCCTGTTTTATTTCTTGGTAGGTCGCAAGCAATCAAACTCAAAGAAAATTGCATTACTAAGTGCAATGAATTACATTTATTCTATCCTTCCATTTACAAACTAAGCATGTTTGCCATATTGTAGCTTTCTAAAAGTTTTTTTTTTAAATGAAAAAAGTTTGCCAACTTAATGGCTCAACAACTTAATGTAAGCCTTATTCACCATGAGAAGGGTTCGATCTCCCTCTACACCTCTTCTTCCGAATCATTTACCCTAAAACAAAAAAAGTTTTTCTAAAATAAAAATTCAAGTTTAAAGACTAACAGAAAAAAAAAAAAAAATACTTCACAAAGTGTTGTCTAGATTTGTTTTGAAACCTTCCTTGACCTTCTTTCTTTTTTAGTTTTTTTTTTAAATAAAAATTTTTGGGTGAGAGATTTAAAATTAAGATTCTCCAATACCTCCACATTTTCATTTAAAATATTGGATGATCAATTTTTTATTAGGGAATGGAGATTCAATTCAAACTATTAATACTTTTTTATAGGTGCATAAAATTATACCGAACTTTTTATTAAAAAATTATTCACAAACAATACTTTACATATTTTAAAGTTTTTTAATTAGGAAAATTGAGAGACACCTTACATTTTTCAAAGTTTTTTTATTAGAAAATGATTAAGAGATAATATTTTTTATTTTTTTAATATAAAATTTAAGAATTAAAATTTAAATTTATGCTTAAGAGTATAAATAACTCTATTAGTAAATTATATGATTAATGATATATTTTGATATAATTTTTTTATACATCGTTATGTATTATTTAATGATAAGCACTATTTACTTTACTTACACTCATGATATTATATATATATATTTTTATTAACATGTAAAAATTCCAAATAAAAATTATATACATTGTACTAAGACTTAATTGGCGTTAAGTTGTTTCCATATTGTTAAACTACACATAAACTTTCACCCAAAAAAGACAAGACCAGCTACATAATAAAAACCACTCTTTCATACTCTCAATAAATATTGAAGAAAGTAAGCTGTCATTTTCCTTTTCTCTAAAATTATCCATGATAGTCGTAATTTATATTAGCTTTGGAAACCTTCTATAAATGATAATTAAAAAAATTGTTGCATTTTTGCAAAAATGGACATTTCATTTTGCTTTTCTCAACTTGAAAAGTACAAAAATAAAAATCCCAAATTTGAGTATATTATTACTTTCCACCTTCTCTTTTCCTACCATAAAATAAAATAAAATAGCAATGATGTTATAAGATTTTGCAAAGATATGATCCGTATGGTTGACACTAAAAAATGTTGGACCAATTTGCACTTTTCCATATTTTTTGCCGCCTTCCATTTCTCCCTTAATAAAAGCCCCTCTGCTTCGGCCCTTCTTTGCTCTGCTTCGCGGAAACACAGACAAGACAACGATTCGGTCCGCAGTTTAAGGATCTTCCCCTTTTATTTGCTCAACCTTAATTACCTCACTTAATATAATTTTTCTTCCATTTTCTCGAATTTTCCTTTCCGTTTTCCTCCATTTTCTCGGTATCCAAACATGAGCTCAACCGCCGTTGGAGTCACTCCTTGTCTTCCTTCCTCCTCTTCCTTCAGTAAACGCCGTGCTTCGTTCAGAGTAATCGGAAGTGAAAAGACGAGATTATTTTTTAAACCGCTTAAGAGTAATCGTAGATTTGTTGTTTCTTGCTCGATGAAGATCGGAGCTCCGGTGGGCCCTGCCGGCGAACAGTTTTCAGAGAAGGTTAGGCGTTTGGCATCGGAATTTGAGTCTTTAATGGAGCCAATTGACCGCGTGAAGCGGCTTTTGTATTACGCGGCGGTTCTGCCTCCGTTTGACGAGTCGGCTCGGGTGCCGGAGAACAGGGTGACCGGGTGCACGACGCAGGTGTGGTTGGATGCGCGGATGGATAAGAACGGGAAGGTGAGGTTTCGAGCTGACAGCGACTCGGAGATCACGAAAGGGTTCTGCTCGTGCTTGATATGGATGCTTGACGGAGCGGATCCGGAGGAGGTGGTGCGGGTGACGGGTGAGGATTTGGCGGGGATGAACATCGGGGTCCACGGGAAGGCACAGTCGAGGGTGAACACGTGGCATAATGTGTTGATCGGTATGCAGAAGAGGACCATGGATTTGGTGGCGGAGCGGGGAGACGGGCAGAGTCCGTTCCCGTCGCTGGTTGTGAGTGGCGCCGCTGATATTGTATGTGTATAACTGGTGTTGTTTGAAAGAAATTAAAATGTTTAGGACAGAATTCCCTCAACAGAATTTGTGGGCCACAAGTGTTCGTTGCAATTCCTGAGTGAATAGTAGAAATTTTAGTAGAGGATGCAAGGAATATCACATCTTCAAATTGGAGTTTTAAAACTATTTAAATTAATTATTTAGATATAATAGGTAATCGATATATAACTTTTGATAATCATTATTATTTTTTTTTAATTTTGATTGTATAAGAGTATTATGTGACTCGAAATCAGATCTTTTACTTATGAGATTGTTATTAAGTTATATAAATCATTAACATTGATAATTATTATTATTTATAATTTATAATGTTAAATCTGTTTTTTAGATTTAATTGCAAATATTGTTTTCTAAATTTTAAAACAATTACCCACTCAAGCTTTTATTTGTAGACACACCATTAGGACCATGGAACCATTATGTCGACATTTAGGAATTCAACTTTGAATAAAATGGCACCATGTCAAAGCTTTTGTAAGAAATCATATTAATGTGAAGTTCAGTTCCAATGTTGTTGGAACTCTGAGTTTCTATGTTCTAAATGCAGGCAGGGTTATTGTTCCTGAATGAATCGGAGATCAGGGAAGGAACTCTGAAGCGCAACAGAATTTGGGCTGCAAAAGCCGGATTTCAAGTTTAATTCTTGATCAAGGTGGCTTTTTGGGAGGTATTCAATTCTCTTTTTCTCCTTTTACGTTTCTCTACTTTTTTCATAGAAGATGAAGGCGAATCCTTTAAGAACGTTTATCTATAAAGTGTGTGTGGTGGTTTTTTTTTTTTACACCTGATTATAGATTATATAACAATAGTAATTCATTTTTTTTCTAAATTTTTATATTTTAAGATTTCAAATTGAGATCACCAATTTAGAATCTTAAGTTGTTTGTTTGGAACAAAAAAAGAATCCTTAAGAGTGTGTAGCAGTTATCCGTTGAGATAGATACCCGTGAGCCACAGAGGTTGAATTACTGCCAGCCTGTTGTCTTGGCATATGCTAAAGTGTAGTATGCTGCTTATAGGATATGAATGTTTTCCCTCAATCTGGAAAAGTTCTCTTCAATTCAAGTCACCTGGTTGAATTCAATCAGAAGGCATCTTTAATGAAACTCTGTTATTTCTGGAGACATCAAGTTAGGATTTGGGAAGGATGCTCCACTCCACCCATGGTGCCTGTCTCTGTGCTATCCGTATTTGAAGGTAAGCAACTTCACCATGAATGAGGGTTAAGGGTGAAGAGAAGACTAAAATATCATTTCTTTTTTATGGTGCAGTGAATACCCAATTACATGTGAATTCCGATTTATTTATTTTAAAGTTTAGGTCATACATGTATGATACCATCATAGCTGAGCAGAAAAAAGATGATGCTCTCATGTCATAATATGGGGTTGTAGATTGTTTACCCCAGAGACTTACATGTGGCTTTACTTTAGTTCTTTCTAATTCTAATGCTATCTTTATTTTGAAAAATGATCTATTATCATTTATAAGTTGCCCCTACGTGTTTCAACAAATAATATGGGATTGAAAATTAAAAGATTCAAATATTAAGACGGGTGAAAAAAAGTCTTGAAAAAGGAATAATCATTTAAAATTTGTGTAACTCATCATTAAAGGCAAAAGAAAAAAAATCATCAGTATCCAGTCAAGAGTGCATAGTGATCTCATCATATCTTTATTTCTTAGTCACTGAATTCTTTGTTTATCAAATTATTATCTATCTGATTCATCCTTTACCCCAACTAAATTGGATATCCCATCAGAATCTTTCCTTTCCACTTTGTGGTCCTCACCGATCTGAGTCATGAGTTTGAGTTTGAGTCAGCTATGAGTAACAAATTGTTGCGCCCTGTATTAGGAGATTGCAATATCTCCAATTCACCTCTGCATGTGTCCTCTGAGAGGCATAACACTGAACTGGCAGGCCTTGCTCCTCACCAGCTCATCCACGTTTTCCTCTGCATTCTTGTAACTAGAATCTTCTTGTCCTACGGCTGCCTGGACACTCGGTTCTTAACCCCCATTTCAATGCAACTCCTGTTCTCTCCACCTCTAAAAACTGCAGCAGAAAGAAAGATTACTAAGCCCACAAAAATATAGAATCAAGCATATGATAAGAAATACTACCGTGAATCTAAACCTCAGCTTGTGTCGAGGAGGTAATGGTAACATCTTAGAGTATGTTTGGTTTGAAAGAAATACTTTTCGTTGCCTTTAAACCAAACATCCCCTCAATACAATTAGTATATTGAGCCATGACTAAGCTAGAAATTTGACATTAATTACTAGTATAATTGTTACGAAACATATGGCCTTCAATAACGAATTTCTGTGCAGTGTTAGTGTTTAGCTCTAAGCTGTGCAAGAAATTAGAGAAGAGAAGACGGGATTAAGCTGAAGCCGTGAAGGAAGGCCGAATTACATGGAGTAGGAAGGAGGCCTAAAGCAAAAAGGTCCAGCAAACGAGAAACAGCTTTTGCTGGCATAGATGGTGTTGGGCCTCTCTGTTAAGTTCAAAAGGCTCCACAGGCCCATAAAAAGAAGCCCAATAAAATCCACAAGGACTGGCACGTGAAACATCCACCGAGTCAGACGTGACACGTGTACCAACCAGATGTTGTCACAAGTACATCAACCTTTGGTCATGACCCCTCAACCACCGTTCACCGGAGCTTAACTCACCAATCGACTCTCTCTATGATACCATTGATTTAATAAAAAATAAAAAAAATTATCTTCTAATTATAATTTGATATAAAAAAATATATTATTAATTTTAAAATAAGAATATTTATTCTAAAGTTTTACATCAAAATTACTTTGTATGTCATCAATTATTTAAATAATTAAGTAATTATTTTATTTTATTAAATGTAAAAAATCTTAAATTTAAATTACATGTGAATGAAATGAAATAAAAAACGAAAAATGTTTATATTTCATTGTGCAATTAAAATAAAAAAAAATTACCTTCTATGTCACTCAAAGACAATCTGTACCAATTTGGAGTTGGACAAATACAAATATTATAATTTAGATTAAACTGTATTATAAATTATTAACGTTAATTAAATTTGTAGATAAATGCTTCTCCCCGACGGTTGCTACTCACATCTCCTTTCTAATTACTTGCCTGAGGCAAAACACTGAGTACTTATAGGCTTATGGCAGCGACAAATTTTTCTTTCTTCCCATGGTGATCTTACCATCAATGGCAAAGTTGCAAATTTGCCCTGGGCTGTTCAAGTTTACGATATTTTTTTCTATTTTACCTCGAATTAAAATCTGATTTTGATTATTAGCCACAAAATACTTGCGTTTTGATAAGTAAGTTGTAGTAATAAAATTATGAGTTTGAAACATTCAATTCACAAAAATATAAAATTTAAAATATCTTGATGTTGAAGCCGTACATTATAATTATTTATGAGTGAATTGTGTTTCTGAAACTCACTCAATAAATAACTATAATAAATGTTATGAATTTTAAAATATTTTAAACATTAAAAGGTTTTAATTTTTTTTAATCGTTTACTCCGATCCAATGACATTGAACCTTAAGTTAAAATTGTTCAACTCCAGTGGATTGTACATTCGAGTTCCATGGAATCTCTTTCCATCTTTCCCCAATTAACCTTGTAAATAATTACAAATTGTTCAAAAAAAAAGTCTTAATTTTTTGGTCTCTTTTTAATTTAAATAAAAAAATCATTATTTTCTAAAATTTTATTTTTTTAATAGATAAATACTTGATGTTAATTTTTTTTTTCTAAATATTTTGACGTGAAACAAATTTGAAACTTGTCCCACAAAAAAAAAAAAACACCTGATCAATACTATTGGACCTCAAAGACCAGCCGCAATACTTGATATTAGTTAAAGGTTTAATACCCAATTTGGTCCCTAAACTTTCATTTCTGAACTTAGTTCGTCCTTTGACTTCAGAAAGCACCCAAAGTGTCTTTAAACTTTAATTTTCCAGAACCCAAATGGTCCTTTCGTCAACGGAATTACATACTTGGCACGTTAAGTCTCCACCAATTACCTCTAAAAATTTTCACAAACTTACCTGGAAAAAACACTACACACACATGGCACCAATTTCATTCCACGTCACATTTCTGTCTCTCTCACCTTATGGAAAAGAAGGAATCAAGTTTGATCTAGAACACTCCTGAACTGGGTCGCTTTCTTCTTCCAGATCTTCACCCAAATCCTCAGGTCGGTGGGTCACCATCAGCTTCTATCCTCGTCGTCATCTTCAACCACCGTTTCAAGCCCTTGCCTGTCGTTGACTCACCGAAGATCAGGTCTCCTTCGGTGGTTGAGATCGTCGCCATTTTCGACTCCATCACCACCGTTACCGAGGAGAAAATTGAGAAACTCATGGTAAGGATGGAATCCTTTAAAGAAAAAATTCTGAAGTTCACATTAACAACCAGCAGGATTGCAAGATTATCGACAAAATTTACTTAAAGAAAAAAAATCTTTATGATATAAATACATTAATGTTTTGGACTACTGGAAATTGGATAGGAGATGAACATATTAATGCTTTGATATCTTTCATAGCTTTCATCAACAATTTCAAAACGAAAATGCTATACAAAGGTCAAGAATCCAGTAAGAATACTGCATTTCAGCAACAAAGCTAGTATGGATTGTACAAGGAATGGAAGAATAGTAGGCTGCAACTACAACTTATTGTAGACTTTCCAAGTAGAAGCAGGGATACCCTGTTTTTGAAACCATTCAGGCATGTGATGTAATGTAAGGAACCTTGTTTGAAGACATGTATTCAAGTTCAAACCACTTCAATCCAGCTTCTGTTGCTTGATTACGAAGAGCAAGAGGCAGAGTAGAGGTCTCATATGCACATACTAGAGTTTCATCCAAGTCAAGAACTACCTACAGGTGCACACATCTTAGACCCAACTCAAAATATTGTCAAGCAATGGTTGGCATATGTTGGGGAAAGCAAAAATTCCAAACCAAAATGCTTATAACACTTTATTTAATGCAATCTAGGTTGGCATGCTTTTGGCTAATGACTTTTATGCTTATTAACAAAACAGAACTTCCACATTTGAATTCCAAGCACATGACATTACAAATTCTATGGTTCTATTCACTCCAAATCTAGTCCAAAAGTACACTCATAATCTCTAAATTTCCAAAGTATAATTAGCACAACTTTAAATGAAGCCCACTCTCCACATTTTGAACATCTATGCAAATAGCAGAATTCAGTTTGAGGTCTATGCAATTATGGGCTTGAGATACATAAGCACACATATAGTAACACGACTTTGATTTCATGCATATTCTTAGCTAATTACATTAAGCTGAGTACCAATATAAATAAAATAAGACATTTCTCCTAGAATCTCCAATAAAGTTGAATTCTTTACCTAAATTTGCCCCATAATTTCAGGTAGAAATGGCTCTTAAAAATCAAAACAACACAGAAGAACCATTTTTTCCATCACGTAATTAACTGGGAACATTTTCATATTGCGTAATTAAATTATTTAATGGATTCCATCCTTACCATGAGTTTCTCGATTTTCTCCTCGGTAACGGTGGTGGCGAAGTCGAAAACGACGACGATCTCAACCACCAAAGGAGACTTAGTCTCCGGCAAGTCAACGACGGGAAAGGGCTTAAAACGGTGCGTTGAAGAAGACGACGAGGATAGAAGCGGATGGTGACCCACTGACCTGAGGATCTGGGTGAAGATTTGGAAGAAGAAAGCGAGCGCGCTAAAAAAGATGATGATGACGACAAGGACAGAAGTGGATGGTGACCCACCAACTTGAGGATCTGGGTGAAGATCTGGAAGAAGAAAGCGAGCCAGTTCAGGAGTGTTCCAGATCAAACTTGATTCCTTCTTTTTCAGATGGTGGGAGAGACTGGAATGTGACGTGGAATGAAATTGGTGGCATGTGTGTGTGTGGTGTTTTTTCCACGTAAACTTGTGAAACTTAAAAGAGGTAATTGGTGGAGACTTAACGTGCCAAATATGCAATTCCGTCGACAGAAGGACCATTTGGGTTCCGGAAAATTAAAGTTTAAGGATGCTTTGGGTGCTTTATGAAGTTAAAGGATGAACTAAGTTCAGAAATAAAAGTTTAGGGACTAAATTGGGTATTAAACCTTAGTTAAAAGGCAAAGGAAGGTATTGAATAAATAAATACTGACTAAGGATTATGTTTCCGCCTTACCGAATCTTGGCAGGCAATTGCCTGCATCTTGACCCGGCATGACGTGATGAAAACAGTTGGTGAGACGGTTGGCGCATGCGGGGATCTTGAATTATAAAATAAATATTATGGAGCACACTAATACGTAGTTAGTAGTACTAATTAATCTGAGTAAAAATATTTTTAATTTTTTTTATAATGTGAGTAAA